TTTCTTGAATCTGTCAGGAAATGCTTTTTATGGAGTTTTCAGGCCTCGAAGATTGCTGAAGAGGCTGAGCGAACGATTATCGCCAACGGAGCCGCGATTGGCTATCTAAGCCGATCAACCAACGGCCAAAATGGGTTGATTGACTCCACCCATACAATCTCCTGCAGCAAGTCGCTGTTTTTGGCAGAAATCGCTCGCCCAACCCCTTTAGCGATCTCCAGAGCTTGGAAACGCCATAAAAGCTTTTCTTTTGCAACTTCGAGAGATTTCACCACGGCCAAGGAAAGATGGAAGATTCACAGTCACGATTTCCCCGAACCACTGCTTTTAAGCGTGTAATGGGTACCGCAATAGCAGAACACATTAGATGGAACGACAATCACTCGCAAGGGTCCAGATAAGGAGCGGAGGGGGCCGCCTGTGAAAGCGGAGCACCTCCAACTTCAACCCTCCTCTAGACTCCGTCCTCTCCTCTCTAGCTAGAAGCTTCTAGCTGTGGATTTCGTTCGTGCTCACAGTGCCGAGGCACGACACTGAATCGACGGTCGGCTATGGTCGAACTTCTGGACTTTTCTCGCTCCAGAAGCAATATTCTGAAGTCAACAACTGGGCTATGGCTTTCATGCGGAGCCCGCTCCAGTAATCGTTGGAACTGAGTTGCTCCTTAATCTGCCCAAACACTCCCTCCAAGCTACAGAAGGGCCGCACCATCCGGAATGGATCAAACTTCATCTACAAGCTGTAAAACTCATTGTGTGCTTCAACCTCCAGCACTTTCTAGCACTTATAAAGCGTCATTTTCAAACATTTAAAGGCGACGTCCGGACAAAAATGGGCGAGATGAGCTTTTCACGTAGTATGTAGCAGGCCGCCCAGCTACAAGGGAATGATACTTGATGACCGCTGCCGTGATACACATACCACTAGATGCGTCCTGGAACGCTTATTCAAATCTGCTTACATTCTCTGCTATGCGATTGTATGAAATAAGTTAGGAACGTTCCTCAAGAATTTGCACTTAGGTCGAGCAAAACTAGGAACATCGCTCAAATTTCTTGTCTCGCTCTCAAAACAATATTTGAAGAAGAGCCAGTTACTTCAAGTTTGAACCTGTCTCAGATGCTTTCACCCTCAATAAACTCAGATGTCCATAATCTTGAGGTTCAAAGTGCAAAAATTCTGGGGATAGAAGCTCACAACTTATTCAGACAACTGTTTAGCAGATAATGAAGATTTTATTACAGATTTTGGCGCTATTTCATCTGTCCCAAAAATTGAAAATCATGGATTTCGCTGAAAACCAGCCTGGGGGGGGGGGGGGTTATTCGACCTGTTGATCACGAAAATGATATTGATTTTGCATGGTGGGGCCTTTTTGAGGGGTTAGTGTGGGTATACGGTATGAGGTCAAAATCTTAGAAATTGCTAAAACTTTGCGTAGGGGGGTATTCGATGTGCTAACCACGAATATCACACTTTTTCGCACGAAAACATCTCCCTGTATGATTACGGTAGGTGTATGGTAGGGAGTCAAAAACTGGATTCGGCTGGAATTTGATCTATAGGGGTTAATTAGCAAGCTGGACATGGATATACCATGGACTTTGTACAGTAGCGCCAATTCCTCGTGTTAAGGTGGGTATACGGTAGGTAGTGGAAAATTGAAACTTCCTCAAAACGCTGCTTAGAGGGGTTTTCAGCATGCTGATAACGAATATCAGGCTTGCTTGCCACAACAATGCTTTATTGTGGAGTTATGGCAATTTGCAGAGATAAGCTTTTTCTGCTTTTCAGAACAACTAACAACGAGAGGATACTTAGTCGAAAGCACCAATCCAGATGAGACACATATCATCTTAAAGCGCTTGAAACACTGATTCCAAATCTATAGATTTTAGGCGGTTTTGTTGAAGGAGTTATGAGGGGTGTTTCCCTTTGGGGTTGAGGCGCCCTCCAGCAGGTCTCCCCTTATCTATGAACCCTGTAGAGGCGTACCAACTGGTGGCCTGGTGGCAACTGGCTTAGCGGTAAGTGCCTTGCTTGGTAAAGAGAGTGTCAAGATTTTAGTCCCCTTCGCATGCAACTTTATCACAATTTTTGAGCTTCTAAATGGCTCTAGAGCCCTAAAGCCCGAAGTTTCGGATGTTATTGATGCTAATTGAAAGTAGAAGTGTTATAAACCAAAGTAATATCGAGCATCATAATCCTTAATGTAATCTTCATTCAAATTACTTACCACTGGCCAGTTGCTACCAGTTGGTACCAGTAGGGTAAGAGGAGACCTACTGGGGGGCGCTTCAACCCCAAAGGGAAACACCCCTCATAACTCCTTCTACAAAACCGCTCCGCTGCTAAAAAGCACAGATTTGGAATCAGCGTTTCAAGCGCTTCAACATGATGTGTGTCTCATCTGGATTGGTGCTTTCGACTAAGTATCCTCTCCTTGTAAGACCCCAAAAATCCACGAGAAGACTCTATAAGCGAAATAAACGCGGTATTCGTGGAGCGCATCACATAACACCCGTGCACAAAGTAAGGCAGATCTACCGTTTTGACCCCTTACCATATACCCACCGTAATCGTGCATAAAGAGGTTTTCGTGCGAAAAGTGTGGTATTTGTGATCAGCATGTCGAATAACTGCCCTACGCGAAATTTTAGCGAATTTTGAGATCTTGACCCCATACCACAATCCTACCGTAACCCCTCAAAGAAGGCCCACCATGCAAAATATCATTCTCGTGATCAGCAGGTCGAACAACCCCCTTAAGCGAATTTACAGCGAAATCCGTGATCTTCAATTTTTGGGTTGTATTAAGTGGAATAGTACCCAGCAGTGGCGTACCGAGGGGGGGGGGGGCGGGGGGGGCGCGCGCCCCCCCCCGAGAATGGGTCGCGAAATTTTTAAAAGTTACTTATATGAGTTATAAAAATGTGCAGGTGACTTATTTATTTTTGTAAATAATTAAAATAATTTCTAAAAATTTTTAAAAATTCAAATTAGCCTTGTAAAAAAATTTTTTTCGGGGGCGTGGCTGACGCCACGCCCCCTTTTTCCAAATTTTAGGGGTCGGGGACCCGCAAAAATTTTGAGAGGCACCCCCAAAATTTTTTCGGAGTGCGTGGCTAACGCCACGCACCTTCTTTAGGAAAAAATTTTTGTCGCGCCCCCCCCGAGCCGAAATCCTGGGTACGCCACTGGTACCCAGATGTTTAATCAGTATTTCAAAACACATTCAGTGATGTATGTCTCAATACGAGTAGTGATGGTCACCAAGTTCCTCTCCCTGTGAGCCACAACCCAAGTGTGACGCCATGATTAGACATAGAGAGTGAAAATATCGCTCTAGAAGTGATTTCACCTCGCCTGGGTTCTGCCGCCCATTAACGAGCCAGACTGCTGTCGAAGTCAACTTATACACCAAATGCAAAATCTAAATAGTATGTGCTAACAAGCAATACAAAATTTCGTGGATAAAGTTAATGATGGCAGGCACCCTTACGCTGCTTTAACTGGCTTTGTGCCTGATCCACTCAAAATATTAGGTTGTCCGGAAAATAATGTCGCATGGCATCTTACCGCGACAGAATGATCACAAAAAACAGCGAATGGAGTATCATTTGATAGAGCAAAGCAAGCTCTACAAGACAGTTTACAAAAATCAGCGGAAACAGTGCTCACCTGAAGTTCGAATCCAAAAGATAAAAATTTTTAAATATCCGAAAGTTCATATCTTCTTCATAAACGTCTTATGGATCTCCAATTTGCACAGGCATGTACTCTCTACACTAGACATTCACCTGTATAGTTGTGGTATTTTCCATGGCTACAGTGCGAGAAATAAAAATAGGTCAAAAGTGCGAATATGTCGCGTTTTTCGGGTTTTTTGCAAACAAATTGATTTTTCTCGAAAACTAGCGCTTGTCTAAAGCTGAAAATTCATGGTTATACTCCTAAATGTTCATGCTACAGAATCACCGATGTGAGAGAAGTTCAGGATTGCTTTGGCAAAAATATGCCGAATTTTGTTTTCTCAATTTTCAGCCATGAAAAAACCGCGAAAATGTGGATACGAGTGTCTCGTATGTGCGTCCATGCGTGAGCAAGTCAAGGTTTCCCAGGGCTTTTGTGAACGGAGATATATTTTTTTCATTTCTTTTAGATCTTTAGTGCCTTATGAAATCTTCAAACTTCACGCAAATCAAACCTGGCGCGAAGGTTCGAGCTTCATTTTGTAGAGCTTGCTCTGATCTATCGGTTGATACCCCACTTACTTACTACTTTCGTGCGCACCCTGCTGCAATATTGCATGTTAAAACACGATGCGACATTATTTCCCGGACAACCTAATACCTTCACAGTTCGCAAACTGCTCCATTTTGTCACGTACAGTAAGCTAAAGACCTGCTTGCCTTAGTAACTTGGTCACAAACCCGCCAAGTTATGTATTCTTGCGAGATTTCATACTTGAGAGAGAATTTGCCGCCAGCTATGCTACTGAACTTAAGGTAGTGTGCAGCTGCACAAAATCAGGTACCATCGACTCCCCGATTGCTACGAGGGCGGTCGCAATGGTCATCCGATAAACAATTTATCAGCTATGTCCCAACACAGAACAACCGCATCGCTTATAGGGTCCGCCCTCGCGGCAATCGGGGAGCCGATGGTAAACGGACAAGTGTAAATATCCACAGACTTCAGAAAATCAGAGATCCGGCGCTATGAGATTGTGAGGGCAAGGATCAGCAAGGATGAGTCGCTCAGGTAGGTATGCAAAGGGGGGGGGGGAAGAGGAGGAGAGGGAGACCTGCCTGACTTCACGTGCCGCCACCCCCTCCCCCTCCAACGTCCGCAAGGCGAATCACGCGTGGAATTCATAGCGCGTCCGTACTACACAACACCTCATGAATTTTTCCTACGCTAACGAATATTCGGGCAGTTGTGCCAATTTTTTTCGTCTCTTCATTGTGCTTTCGACATGTATGTACTTCTCATTTACAGTGAAATATTACAGAGTCTCTACGTCACTGTTTCTCGATGGGAGACCTCGACGCTGAATTGGCTCTGTGAGTGCTAAGAAAGGGTTTTTAATCCAAATAATTATTGCTTCTATAGAACTTTTTTCATTCCTGAGCTTTACAGGGCATCTCTTCTTCCACCCCACTTTGGTCGCGAAGAGCAACGAGGTGCATAATTTGCTTGTGCCCCTTAGAAAATTGTTGCTCTTTAATGAGGTTTCATCTTGAGGGTTGTGCGACCTATCAATTACATACAATTGCTGGTTTTAGTAAGTTCGTTGCTGCGATAGGGGAATTTGGAAGAGACTTCTTACAAAACTGCTCTTATATCCATTTATGTAGAGGAATTTTGGTTATGATTTTGTGATAACAAAGACCGCATTGCTCAATTCACAGAATTCTTGTTGCAAGCATTTTGGCCGGAAAAAATGCTGTATGTCTAGCAAGTCTCAGCCACGCATGGGGCGGATATCGTGTATACTAAGCTTTTCACCACCGGGTTGTTAGTGAAGATATATGAAGAGAAACGTAAAGTTTGGCCTTATGGTTTAAAATAAGTTGATTCAGCTTTGAAAGCGAAATCTCCTCGCTTGTCACGGAGCAGCCTAATCCACCTCCAAAAAAGAAGAAGGTCAAACATGCCACTGAGAATGGCACGAAGGAGACCAAAACCACTGCCAGTGCCGTGATTGGCACTGCCTCTCCTTCCGTGACAGTAGCACCGAGCTTGCCAGGTATAGGGACTGGTACGTTTATAAGGTATTTGCTACCTATAATCTTTTATGTTTATTGATCTGGAAGAGAAGATGGTTTGTATGAAAATAATGTTGTTCGACTGTTTTCTAGTTTGTTACAAGTCGCATCACTGGCGAGTTTGCAGGAAAAACAATCAGGTCCTTTAAGTGCATCAATGTTGCTTCCTTACTTGAGCAAAATGAGCAAGAAGGGGTAGAGTTGGGTATTGTGACGATTTTCATGGCCCCCTTTTCCCCGGGTTCAGCTGTGCATGGCGTACTTTCTTAGGCATGTTCTTGTAACGCACCCAGAGGCTCCTGCCGGACTGCGCCCAAAAGCGCCCAAACTTCTCTGACAAATCTTCGAATTGTGGGTGGACTATGACTAGGTTTGTATGACTAGGTTCACTATGTTTGTCGAAAGTATTTCTTTGCAAGGTGCTGATGGTGATGTTGGTGCTGTTAATCCTTGAAGGGCTTCAGAACATAAATTTTGGTGACCGTCTTGTTAACAAAATGAAGGAAAGTCAAGTTTTGACAGATCTGTGCCATCAAGCAGTAGACAAGCAGCTTAGGTCAGAGCTTTGTGTGGCAGTATAGTGTCGTGATTTGCTGTAATCTTTCTGAAGCAGATACTTTTTCAATTGTCTACCACCAAAACTCGAAAGCATTGATGAAGCTGTTGTTCTTGATGTTTTACTCGGTGACCTTGGAGTTTTTTCAAAATTTACCTGGAGGCTTTCAGGGCTGATGATCTTGTTGTTAAAAACCAATATAAGGGATCTTCGTTTCCAGCTCCGACATTGTTACCCACTCTGCAAACTCCACCTGTCATGACACCGTTTCTGCATCGTGTTGGAACTCTCGGTGGAGTCCCTATGATGCCTCCACCTGTTCCGCCTCCAATCTTTGTCCCCACTCAAGCGATTCGACAGACAATGCTTCCAATGCCAATGCCAAACTTCTTCATGCCTCACCAGGCCGGTTGTTACTCTTATTCGGCCTTTTCGTCTTGATTCACACTTGAATTTTTTGACAGCCAAAGCTTATCATCGGCTCCTAGATTCGTGTGGAGGTGGGTTGCGGACTTTTCCGCAATATAAGGATAGATTTGTTCAACCACCACGTTGCAGCATTGTTTCTTGCACTCCCTCAAGTTTATCCTTATAATCAGAGAAAGTCCGCAACCCGCTTCCTTACGAATTTAGGAACCGATCATATATAAGCAAAGCTTCTATTTTCTCTTTACTTTTTCAATAAATTTGGTTCTTTACAGCTTCGCCAACCACCTAGACCATCAGCTACAATAGAGAGTGGCCCTAAGATATATAGTGCGGAAGTTGCTTCGACGAATCCAACGGCTGGCTGTGGTGCTCCGATCACCTTTGTGAGTAAAGTGCCACTTTGTCTGATTTGGTAGCTCTACATCATCTCAGAAGATCTTCGGAATCTTCTGATCTGATTGAGGGTAACCTATTCAGGCACTTGCTTCGGACATTGAAGCTATGGAAAAGAAGAATGAACATTCCCATCCCCCTACGAGGCACAGGGACCCAAAAACAAACAAACCAAAAAAGTATCTTAGGGCTGGTGGTGGCCAGGCAAGTTTTCGCTGCTTCCGTTTGTGATACAAAATTCGCACAGGTAGGACGTAAATCTCGATGACTTAAGGTGTGGGAAGACCCTTCTCTTGCTGAATGGGACAAGAATGATTTCAGAATTTTCTGTGGAGATCTAGGTAACGAGGTGCGTTCGACTGAAATGTATTTGTGCTACATGTAGTAATCTTTTTCTAGGTCTCCGATGAATTACTTGCGAAGGCTTTTCGGAAGTACCCTAGCTTCCGTAAAGCGAAGGTGCGTTTTAATATTTCTGTTTGTATTATCTTTGACAAGCATTAAGGAAGTAACGATTAGCTGTGTACTTATCCTGACCATACTTATATATTGCTCAGTTTATCTTATTACAGTCAATGTAGAATTTGTCTGTAATATTTTTTGTAACACCAAATGCACATGTGACTGTTTTAAAACGTTACATATCGTATGATTTTGTCAAAGTAAGAATCAGTAATGTTTACCTACAATGGCTTTGTAACCCCTCATCAGCTTGTGCTTCTGCTTCTTCCTTTCAAATAGGACGCTATTATTTAGCTGTTTAGGTTGTGCGTGACTCGCGATCGAATAAAAGCAAAGGGTATGGTTTCGTGTCATTTGGAGAATCAGATGTGAGTTGTAGGTGAACTTTGATTTTTCTTCTTTCAACTAAATCTTCTAGGATTACGTCCGAGCAATGAGAGAAATGGACGGAAAGTACGTAGGAAATCGTCCTATAAAGCTCAGAAAGTCAAATTGGAAAGACCGCAACTTCGAAGTAGTCAAAAAGAAACAGAAGCAAAAGGCTAAGCTTGGGTTATGGAGCTGAAAAGATGACATTATACAGGTTTACTAACACTAACAGAGTGAAATATTTTTTGTTATTCTCTGTTGTATTTTCTAATCATCACATTCTAAATGATTGGGAACCATTTGACTTGAAGTAAGCTTCTTTGATAGAACTTTCTACTGTAGCAATTATGACTGTTAAATCAGCAACACATTCTGTCCGTACTCTATTGTGAGTTTCTGTGTTGTATCAGCTCCAATCATTCTGTTTTATTTTCCATCTCTAATCATTGTTGTACATAAACGTTCCATTCAATTGTGCCATCGGCAGTCATATGTACCGTCAAGGTAATTTTATTTACTTGCTGTTTTTTGGTATATATTTCTGTCTTGTGAGTAGTCGAACAAATCATGGCGTACTAAATTAGACTTTGATGAATCAGCATTTGTTTCCTTACTCTAATGATTGCGCACTATTTTCGAGGAGTTGAGTAGAAATCCCAAGTGGGAAGAGGGAGGGAGGTTGCTGCAATTTCATCTCCGAGTGTTTCTATATCTTGCACACCTCTTTATCTTTTGAGTTCAAATCTCCGTTAAGTCCACTTCTTGCTCCTGCCACTCACTTAGCGTCAGATGGACTACTAGTATTTTTTTACCTGTCTCCACTTTCTTCTGCGAGAAGCTAGCTTTCTTTCTAGATTACACCATATGTGAATTTCCCACAAGTATTTCTGTAAGTAGCTCCTCAAGCTTGTCGATAATTTATTTGCGCGAATTCAGCACCAGATTTTACTTTCAGTCTATCATGGTACCGTCGCAACCTCATTTGTTGCCTTTGACGTGTTGTTAAAAGAGCCAAGATCTAGATGCTTCAGAAAGTACGTCTGCGTTCGGTTACCATGCGCGATTGCCAAGAAATTGCCGTCGTTGGCAGCATGATAAATGCTCCTACTAATTCACCGCGCGCAGATCAATGCATAGGCGCACAGTGTCGAACCTTGCTTGAAGGCAGTGTACAGGCAAATCTGGTCGCACGGCTCTTTTGCTTGGAACTTGATGAGGGCGGTCCTAACTAAAGCACTGCCTAAGGTGCCGCACAAATTGTTTAATCACGGTTGAGAAATCCGTCTCCGAAAACATTTCCAGGCAAAACACCCATATGCCCAGATTTGCCTGAACACTGCCTTAAGAGTGCGCTTGATGAGAATTATGCACTTCACAGCAATGCCTAATCGCGCAAGGTATGATCGGTGCGTGAGGCGGCACAAAGGCGCAAGAATTATGTGAACCGCTAGTTTGTCCTGAGGTTAGGATAGTCGAGAACGCTAATGCACATTGTGTTCAACAAAGAGCATATTTATCACGAATTACAATTGATTATTCAGAATGCGTGAACCAATCGAACTTGCCTACTAAATTCGCGAGTATCCTAGCCTTAGAACGGATGGTATTAGGTTTTCCCCACAAGTTTTTTTGCTTTGCAAATCTTCATCTCTATTTTTATGGATAGAGTCTAAGTGACTGTTCGATAGAGCAATGCAAGCTCGACAAGGTGACTCTGCAAACGGTTTGAACCGCGTTTTGTTTGAAGCCAAATCCAAATTTTGCGATTGTTCGAAAATTGCGATCTTCGCTGAGGAAATTTCTAAGGGCTTCCAAGTTGGATATGTACTCTCCATATCAGATACCTGCAGGGTGGGGCATAAGTCTGGGAGCCTAGTACTTTTTTAGATAAAATCCAAATGAAAATACCTAGAAACAAAAAATTTGGTCCAAAGATGGACCGAACCCTTACAAATACAGTGCAGCTCTCAAATTTTGAGATTGCTCCTTTGGGCTCCAAAGCAGTCCTTCACGATCTTGGCAAGTCTGTCTGTCGTGGCACGCAGGCAGTCGAGATGAAATTCGTTCCTTGCCTACATTATAACTGTTTTTTTTTACCAGGCAAATGTGCAGTATGATAGAGCAGGTTTTTGGCCATAAGATATTTTACGAAGAAATTTTTCTGCAAACTTTAGGAAAAAATTTTGGAATTTTTAATGAAAAAAGAGTAGTCGCATACCGGATATTTGAATGCGATAGCGCAAACGGAAGCGAAAAATTACAGTTTGAAAAATATTGAAATTGCCCTATCAATTAAAATCAAACAAATGCTTACACAGGAGACCCAAGGAAAGAATATAGCCTAATATCCGGTACCTGCTGCTCTCCTATAGCTTCAGTTAATCTAGAGACAAATGATCATTGGCACGCAGATTCGCAAATTTTTATTTTGCGTTTTCGAAAGAACAACGTTTGGCAAACGCACTACTACGATTCGATAGCGCAAAGCCTCCTCTACATTGTGCGCATCGGATTGTTGTACAATGTTCACAGTATCTTTAGTTACGAAATAAATTATGAATGCTGAAAATTTTGAAATTCTTACAAATAATTATGGCAAGCATTTTCAGCTCTGTGAAGTGTGGTTTATGAGTTTGATTGCAACGTTATGTGGCACAGATTTGGAATTAAAATCATCAGTAGTTTCGTGATTTACAGCACTGCAAAGTCGGCTCCCAGACTTCTGTTCCACCCTGTATATGTACAGTTGCTGCATTTTTTCCATGGCTAGGAATTGAGGAACCAAAAAAAGATCAGTATTACGAAAAACCCAAAAAAAAACATTCCTTTTCAGACTTTTTTATGCTAAAGTATTGATATTGGAGGACTTAAGCTTGTGCCCTGAAGATGCTCATGCCCAGAGGTTTATCTAAGACTTACCTATATAGGAACAGCAGAGCATTGCATTTACAAAAATTTGCAAATTCATTTTCTGAGTTCTAGCAATGAATTCTGGTACAAGTGTGCATACGAATGGTTGATGTGGAAGAGCATGGGGGGCACGCGGGAGGCGACAATCGGCGAAAAATGGAGGCTGTGTATCCCCCGCTCAATGACTTTCACGGATTCTTACTTGAGGCATTGAGTAATGTATCTGCCCCCGTAGTCCCCCGGGGTGTCACTTTGACACCGGAGAGTTTTTGATAGGCACAAAATTGGGGATTGTCGCCTTCCGCACCACACCCGAAGAGCATGCTCCAGCGAGGAACTTTGCATTTTTTTTCAGATGGGGATTCAATTTTTTTGAGTTTAGGTCATGAGTTTTGGTGCTATTCGGGTTTTGCTTGAAACTACATGTGGATCAGCCTTGTTGTAGAAATTTGGAATTTTCTTGTGGAGCTTACTTTGCTCTATCCAAACTTGTCCCCATGCTTTGTAAATGCAAGAGAAAATCGTTTATTTAGGTAAAGTATTGATAAAAAGATTCATGGGACAACCCAATAAACAGAGTCATAATTTCATCTCTCGACCGCGAAGTTGTCCAGTGCACGGAAGTGCATGGATACTAGAAGCAGTATAAGCTGGCGTTTGTTGAACGCAAAAACAAGACTTTTAGTCACTGCAAATATGTGACCTTCATTAGTAAAGGATGAATCACATCTCACCAATTTGAGATGAGCATCTCTTAAAAAGAGAAGAGAATGAATCCAGACATTATACAGCTAATATGCACTGACTACCCCTTTAGAATTTGTTTCTTTCCTCGTTCTCTTGCTTCTTTCATCTACAAGTGCATCTTCTAAATGACGTCCTAGAGTCAGTGCTTATCATTTCCTTATCCGCCAGCCAACATCTATTTGGCTTTTGATTTGAAAAGATTTTTTTCAAAAAATAATGGCTGCATCTAGCCGTTTCTGAGACATGCCTTTTTCTTTTTCGTAGCACAGCTGAGTGAATATACTTAGAAGATGCATGAAAATCGCATAGTATTTTGTCCTTGGGGACCATGATATCTTGGGAGATTTCTGCGGACGCTTTTCCTCTGTTCAGCACAGACTAATCAGATCATCTATCTTTGGACTCCATAATCACTTGTTCTTGTTGAACGCTGCGCATCAAAGAGACACCTTGACAATGAATTCAGCCGAGAAAACGCTGTGAAAAAGCTCGTAACGAAATTCAAAATGACTTTTCATGGTCGAATACTGGAAAGGAAACAAGATTCTTTTATAAGAAATCTGCTCTCGCTCTAAGCCAGCTCTATTTCGGGTATAGGGCATTTCAAAAATCGTGGCGATGGCACGACCGCGTGCGACACGCACGTCACATCCGGAAACCGCATTTTTTGGTTATCATTTCTAGTTGAATGGTTTTTTGCTTACGTATGATAATACTGAGACACTGGAAGTGACTGAGCTGAACGTTGAGGTGATGCCTTCTTGTATGAGCGTTTTATGCTCCTGTGGGCACAAGGTCCGCAGTAAAATCCGTCTTCACGATTTTATAAATGAACTATACTGTTTGGCTGATATGTCATCTCAGCATGTGAAAATAATTGTTTTTACAATCGGTCTGGGAGTCAGAAGCATAATTTCTTATTGTTAAAACCATTCCTTCCTAACAATATAGAAATCGCGGAATTTCAGATTTTGACATAATTCGTCGCCATTAGCTGGGCAGAGTTAGGGGGTAGAAAGGGAAAGCAGAAAGCTATCAGGGAGGTGGAGATCAAATAAGCGATACAAAAGTGAAGTGTACTAGGTAGCCTATATGGGCTTGCAGGGTGCCCAAAAATTGTATCGAACGTTTGATCTCTAATAACTCTTTTCTATGAAAAGCTTTTGCGTTCTAAACATTATAGCGAAGTTGGTTTCTGGTTTGCAGCAAAAGCTCGCCAATTGCCTTTCCCAGTAGGATTACGATAGAAACTCCTAACATACAGTGCAGGTGTGAATAAGGTCGTTACAATTTTTCTTTGAACCTGAAAACTGATTAACAAGAACTTTATGCGTTTTGATTCTACTGCTTGACTCTCTACAAATTTCCGAATGGCGTGGTCTATTTTTTTTTTCTTTTGAGAGACAGTGGAAAATCAGCTGTTGCGGTATACCTGTCATAACTTATGAAAGAAGTACGAGAAAAAGTGCAAATTTTTATATTTAGAATCAGCGAAAATCCGATTAGACTCGTGTAAGAATTTTAAAATTGCTTGCTTTGCTTTCTGAAGCAAAATAAGGGCCCTCTATTGCTCAAAACTCTATTCAAGGTTCCTAAACCAATCCTACAGTAATTTAGCGCAATACATAATCTGCTCATATGTAATCTTAGTTGGAGCCACCTACAATATGTTGTTGAGATGGTCCCGAAGTTATACAGGAGAGTTATTGAAGATCAAACGTTCGATACATTTCTTTGAGGACACCCTAGATATCCTACTTGAAAACGTTTTTTGTGGAATGTCATACTTAGTTTGGCAGACTGCATATC